AGATCGATTAAATCGATTGATTGATTGTTATTATTATTATTATTATTTTATTCGCGGCTTTCCGTGATTTTTCTTTTTTGTGTTTTTCGTGAAAATAAAAAAATAAAAAAATTGTTGTTAATAAATAAAAAAAAAAATATTTAAATTAAAATTATTATTATTATTTTGTTTTTTTTTTTTTTTTTTTTTGTTTTTCGTTTGTTTGTTTGTTTGTTTGTTTTTTCCCCCCCCCCCCCCCCCTTTCGATGAGTGAGAAATAATAAAGAATAATCCCGATGCGGTTATCTTTATTTAGTTTTTAATAATTTGAGAGAGAAAAAAAAATAATAATAATATTAATATTAGGTGTTTGGATGTTAATTCATTATTATTATTATTATTAATTATTTCAATTTAAAGTTGAAATAAAATTTAAAAAAAAATTTTTCGATGGAAATTGATTAATTCTAACATAATGTTTACTTTGATCAGTGGAAAGCGATCCCTCACGTTACTACTACATGGAAAATCAACATGGCCTTCCTCAACTTGTCTACAACGGCTACGTTTTCCGAAGGGATAGAGAACGTGCTAGATTTTCAATGAACCGATTGGGAGAAAGCGTGACAAGAGTGAGAAGTTATTGGAGATGCGTTTTAAGATCATGCAAAGCACGTGGAAACGTGGATCCCCACGGAATCCTTAGGTTAACAAACGAACACGATCATCCGCCCAACGAAGAAAAAGTCAAATATAGGAACCTTCGGGCCGAGGTACGTCTCTCATCCTTCAATGATTCCCGTTAAATAAATAAAAAAAAAAAAAAATTTAATTTTTACGTTACGCGTTGTACCTTTGTTTTCCACCCTCATTTCCCACTTTTTTTGTTTCCCCCCCCCCCCCATTCTCTCCCTCGTTTGATAAAAGTTTAGAAAAACAAAAACAAAAAAAAAATTTTTTTTTTTTTCTTCGAAATGAATCAGATCAAAAAAAGAGCACTGGAGTACAATCATCCGCCTAAAACGATACTCGAACATTTCAACATAAAAGACGAATCACTGGAAAAAACGATAGCCAATTGGAGATATAGATTCGGGAGCAAAGAGGGTAAACAATCGACGTCGTCGAGTCCAAGCGAATATTATTACACGACGGGAAGTAAAATAAAACTACCCCTAACGAAAATCGAAGTCGACGGTAAAGATTCGGATTGGAAAATATACATGGAGAAAAATGGAGGAGAAGAACACCACGTGTACGCGACAACGAGAGATGAAACGAACGTGCCGAAAGAGGAAAGCATCGTTTTAGAAGAGAGTCAAGGTGTTATTTTCGAAGAGGAGGGAATCATCGTGAACGATGATGAACTTTACGAAATCGAAGATGGCTCACAAGAACATTTTGAAAAAATATATTATATAATAAATAAAAATTAAATAAATAAAAAAAAATAAAAAAAAGTCATTGTTATTGTTATTATTATTATTATGATTAAGACAACAACAACAACAACAACTACAAACACTTACTACTACTACTATTGCAAAAAAACAATTTGCTGCTGAGATTTATCATTTTTTGTATTTTTATTTTTTATTTTTTGTTTTTTTTTTTTTTTTTTTTTTTTTTACAAAATACAGTAAGAGAGAGCGAGATAGAGAGAAAGAAAGAGAGAGAGAGAGAGAGAAAGAAAATAATTTTTAAAGTGTGAATTTTTTCTTTTTTTTTTTTTTTTATATATTTAATTAACTGCAAAGAAAAAAAACACGTGCGGTTTATTATTATTATTATTATTATTGTTATTGTTATTATTATTATTACAATTCTCGCGATTTTCAATGATGATGATAATAATAATAATAATACACGTTTAAATAAACAATTTATTTATACTCTGATTTTATTGTGATTTTTTTCATTTAAATCTTGTTAATATTATTATTATTTTTTTTTTTTTTTTAAGTGCACAAAAAAAAGTACATAAATATTTGTAAATTATGCATATGTACATATGTATGTATGTATGCATAAAACTATGTACATATATAAATATGTGGAGAGAAAAAAAAAAAAAAATAAATTTTTAAGGGTTAATTTAATGTGTTTTCATTTTTAATTAATTTTTTTTTTAAGCTTTTCTATCGAGTTTGTTCGGTGATCGATGACGTAAATAAATAAATAAATATTTATTTTATAAGATAATGATTATTATTTTATATAAAATAAATAATAATAAATATTTATTTAAGAAGGAAGAAGGGAGGGAAGAAGAAGAATCAATAATTTTTTTTTTGTCAAAACTTAATTTTCCGAAAGTAGCAACTGGAGCGACGGGGGGCGGGAATGGGTGTGGAGAGGGAGGGAATTTTATGGGATTTTTTTTGTTTTGTTTTTTTTTGATACAGTGTTAAAATTTGGTGGTCATATTGTGATTATTATTATTATTATTATTAAGTTTTTTAGTGTTTTATTTTTATTTCTTCCCCCCGCCTCCCCCCTTTTGAATAATTTCAAAATTGTTTTTTTTTTTTTTTTTTTTGTTATTATTAAATATAAAAATTGATCTCTAAAAAAAATTTTTTTTTTAACTTTATAATAATAATAATAATGATAATAATACATTGGTAATTTTTTTTTTTTATATTTTTAATCTTTGATATTAATTATTATTTTTTTTAACACAATCGTCGTCCCTAATTAATTTAATACAATAATAATAATAATAATAATTAATTTTATAATAAATTTATTTAAAAAAAAAAAAAAATTTAATTATTATTTGACTAGGGGGTATATTCGTTATGTATTTTTCTATTATTATTATAATTATTATTATTATTATTAATACGATTGATTGATTACTTATTAAAGAATGAATAGTTATTAACTATTTATTAAAAAAAAAAAACAATATTTATGTTACGCTAACTAATTGAATAAATAAATTAATAATAATAATAATAATAATAATAATTTTTTTGCCACTTTAAAAAAAATTATTATCATCATTTTCGCGTAGACATCATTCACAAATATTGTTTTTTTTTTTTTTTTGTTTGTTTGTATACAATTTTTACTAATAATAATGATAATAATAATAATAGTAATGTTTGTTCGATATAATTTGTGGCAAAAAAAATTTTAAAAAATTAAAAAAGTTCATAAGCGTTAAAGAAAATTTTCAACACGTTAAATTTTTATTAATTAATTAATGAAATTCGATTTATTATTATTATTATTATTATTATTATTATTATTATTATTATTATTATTATTATTATCATTTTTTTTATTTAAACCCATTTCCCGTTTTTTTTTGAAGCAAGACAAGTAATTAAAACGATAACGATAAAATTAAAATTGTTTTTTTTTTTTTCGGTTTGTTTTTGTTTTCGTTTTGTTTGTTTGTTTGTTTGTTTGTTTTCACTGAATAAAATGTAATAAAAAGAAAATTTATATTTTTCAGGGAATAAATGGCAAGATTACAAATATATACAAAGCAAAAATGGTAAATATTTGCTTTTGTACGAAGGATTTTCTTACAGAAAATACATGACGTCAAAATCGATGCAATCGTATTGGACGTGCACGTTGAGAGGGTGCAAAGCCAAAGCAACAATGAAACCTGATGGATGGTTTAGCCTGACAAAATATACTCACAATCACGAACCGAATTACGAGGAAATGGAAAGGAAAGCAATCATATCAGAGGTAGGTGGTGGTGGTGGTGGTGATGAGAAGAAAGAAGAGAAAGAAAATTTTTCGAATATGGGAAAATTATAAATAAATAATAATATTTTACAGTTGAGAAAATTAACGTTAGAGACTGAACTATCACCTTCCGAACTGTTAAGACAAGTTGGTGTCGTAGATGATCCGGATAAGAAATATCGGGATACGATAAATTTTTGGAGATGGAGAGCAAAAAGAAAAATCGAAGCCGAATCCGCGGGTTATTACGAAGATTCTAAAAATTTACAATTCGGTATAAAATTTTTTTTGCCCCCCCCCCCCCTTCCCCCTTTCGTGTTGTTTGCAAAAATTATTATCATCATCATCATTCTTTATTTTTTTTTACAGATGGAAATTATAAATTTGTCAAAACTCATCATTCGCATTTTTTACAATACAAAAATTATTTATATAGAAAATACATGTCTTCGAAAGTGGATTCGGGTAGTTATTGGAGATGTAGGAGGGATGATTGTCCGGCAAGGGCAAAACTCGATTCGTCCGCATTGTTAACGTGTACGAATTTCAATCATAATCATCCGGAAGAAGAATTCGAGGGAGAAGACATGGAACAAGATATAAAACAATTGGTGAGGAATCAAAACGTTATCGCGAACATTGGCATAATAACGTCATCGCGAGAGATTAATTTTTTTTGGGGATTTTCTATTTCAGGTACGGGATATGGCTTTGAACACAGACATGCCGATCGGTGAAATACTTAAAATGTATCATTCGGAAGAAGATGTAGAATTGAAAAAATACATAAAAAATATAAGGTGTAGAAAGGAGAGGAATTTGAGGGAGAAAAAGCGTAAAGTCGAAGAAGCCGTCATTAATCAAATAGAAATGTTGGAAAATGTTCCGCCAGGTACGAGTGAAATTTTCCTATTTTTTTTTTTTTGAAAAGGTTTCGTCGCGTACCAACTTTTGAATTCGAATTTTAATTTTCAGGCGTGTTTGTTAAAATACCGAAAGATCTCCTATGCGAAATATCAGAATTGACGGTCAATCAAGAGGGTGAAACGGAATATCCCGAAGGAACGATATTCAAAGTCGACGACAAGGCATTGGTACAGGTTGTCAATTTCGATCCGGATGGTGATTCGTTCGACGGTGAATTGTTTTTCAGAAACGAAACGGAAGACGAGTCGGAACAAGTCGAAGGAGATCAAGAAATACAATACGAAGCCGTCAACGTTTCGGATTACACGACGTACGTCATAGCATCGGATAGAGACGAGGAAGAAGAGGAAGAAGGTGGAGGAGTAGGAGGAGGAGACACGAATATAAAAATGACGGAAGAAAATTTAGACGAGGAATTAAATCGTGAAAATTTAACGACGATAGAAACGAGCGTCGGGAGAGTAGAAAAATAAAAAAACCTTTTTGTATAAATAATTTTTTGTGAAGGTATTAGAGAAAAACAAAAGAAAAACATTCCTCGTACGCGGTAAACCTGAAAAGGAAGAGGAAAAAGAAAAAAAACAAAATGGCGTCGTACCACAATAACAATTTTCATTTGGTTTTGAGTTTGATTTTTTTTTTTTTAATAATTTTTTTAACGTAAGGAAAGGACGAACGAAATATTGTAAATATTGTATATACGTTGTCAGATTATGTGTGTGCGTGTGCGTGCGTGCGTGCGTGCGTGCGTGTGTAAAGAAAAAAAAAAAAGTTTCAGGTTTTGTTGTTGTTGTTGTTGTTGTTATTATTACTACTACGACTACTTCATTCGAAAACAGTAAGGTGTTAATGCGACTTATCATTATCATTATTTTCAAAACAACAAATCGAAAATGATAATGACGTAATAAAAAAAATGATAATAATAATGATAGATTTCGATATGGAAGTTTGCGTAGAAGAAAAAGGAAAAAGAAAGAAAAGTCACTTAATTTTTTTTTACTTTTTTTTTCAATTTCATAAGTTTATGACGTGTCAGTCACGTGATCGGTCTCCTAATGAAAAAATGATGTATATTAAATATATATATGTAGTCGTTAAGTTATATTTTTTTGCTCAAGTTGATTAACAATAATTTTTTTTTTTTATTGTTTACTTTTAATTAATTAATTGAACGAATGCAAGGCAAAACAAACAAACAAAACAAGACAAACAAAAAACAGTATTTTGTTGGAAAATTTATTTTTTAAAGAAAATTATTATTATCTATGATGGTGTGTACATAAAAAATAATAATAATAATAATTTAAATTCGTTTGAAAAAAAAAAAAAAATTTTTTTAATTAAAACATTAATTTATATATGAATAAATATATATTGATTGATTGATTATTTAGTTATTAAAAAATAAAATAATTTGTATTTTGAATGCATTATTATTATTATTATTATTATTATTATTATTATTATTATTATTATTATTATCGATATCGATTTGACCGATTAGTTTGTGTGTGAATTTAATTTTTTTTTTTTTTTTCCGGTAAGAAATTTAAGGTATTGTCAGGAAAGTCAGGTACAAACGGAACCCATTCGATTCGAGTTTTTAACCCCGAAAGAATTTTTTCTTTCCCCTCTACTCCCCTTCTCCCCTCCACTTTTTTTTTTTTGTTTTTGATTTGAAAACAAAAACAAATTTTGAACTCGGATTTTAACCGACGGTACCCATAACTACTATTATACAACTAATAATAATAATAATAATAATAATGATGATGATGATGATGATGATGATGATGATGATGTGGAATAATGTTTAACAAAAAAAAAAAAAATTGTAAAACAAAATAAAAAATAAAAATAAAAATAAATTTTTACGAAATTAATTTTTTTTTTTTTTTTTTTTGTATTTTGTATTTTATTTTCTAAAAAGCATTTATATTGTTATTATTATTATTATTATTATTAATTTAAACGAATGCGTTTTTTTTAAAATTGTATTTGTATCATTATTATTATTTTTTTTTTTTTTTAGCCGTGACAATAAAAAAAGAAAAGGAAGAGGAAGAAGAAGAATGTTCGGAGGGGAATTACGATGAAATATTCGATAAAATCGAAATAAAAGAAGAAAAATTCGATTACGATCAAAGTGGGAAAAATAATGATCCGATCGCGGTGCCACCCTCGAATCCAACTTTACAACCCTCCGTATTACAATACGTACCAATGTCGCAATATAGTTTTTACATAAATCCATCGTCATCGAACATAGTCACGGAAGATCAGACAAGAGTCACGTTTCATCCCGTACCCGGATTTAGCGGATTAAACATAGTCACGAACACGCCTACACGACCGCAATTTAATCCTCCTCCTCCTCCACCGCCGGCGGAAAAACTATACAGGAAGTTATTGCCCAAACCCAACACGGATAATAAGACCAGAGGAAAATTAACGACGGGAAAAAGGAAAAAAAATTAATTAATCAATCAATCAAAAAAAAAAGAAAACTAAAATAACGGAAAAAAAATGACGTTTTAGTGATGATAATGATAATAATAACGACGGTTATAGTGGCCTACCACGCCGAGTTTTAAAACAAAGTGTAATTATTATTATTTATTTATTTATTAAATTATAATTAAAATGTATATATATATATAATATGTGCACGTGTGTTGTGGGAGTTAGAGTTGAGAAGCGAAAAAGGAAAAAGAAAAAAATACCCAGTTTTTTACTATTATTTAAAATGTAATCGTATTGCGAATGTAAAACTTATTTATTAACGTAAAGTGACGTCACGAAAATTTTATTTCCGGTTTTTATTTTTTTATTGTTTAAATTGGGAAATTCGAACGAATCGAATGCGGGAAAAAAAAATAAGGAAAATTTTTACACAATCGATAAAATTTTGTTTTTTTTTTTCTATGTAAAATTAAAAATTATTAAATTATTGTAAAAAAAAATTTAATTTCCGTTAAAACGGACATTTTTTTTTTTGTAATGATGATGATGATGGTGGTGAAAATTTTTGAAGAGAGAGAGAGAGAGAGAAAAATAATTTTTTTTTTCTAAAAAAAATTTTGTATACCTTTTTCTCTCTCTCTCTTTCATTTTTGTTTAACGTTATTTTTTTGTTTTTCCCTTTTCCACCATCGCCATCTTTGTTTTAATACAAATCTCATTTTTTGTTTTTGTTTTTTTTTTTTTTTTTTAATTATAGATTTTTTACAAAAATATTCAATCGACGAATACGTTTTTCGAAAATCTAAAAGAGGAAATCTCATTCTTCAGCACAACGGATACGATTATAGGTTCGGAGGTTTCAATTCGTCGTCACTGCGATGGAGGTGTTGCGATGAAAAAAAATACAAATGCACAGGAAGAGCCCTGTTGGGAAGCGATACGGGAGAAATAAAAATAAGGAATCACAATCATCCCCCGGGATTCGAAGATAATAAAATAATCAATTTCGAGGATTTGTTCATTAAGAAAAAATAATGAACCGACCGCGCACACACGCACACACAACAGCACACACACAAACTTCGTAAAAAAAATTATTTCTGTTTGTCAAAATTTTAAAATCGTTGTTTGTCCGTTCGTTTGTTCGTTTGTTTGTTTGTTTCGAATTGTTTTGTTAATCAACTTCCTCATTTTTTTCTTCTAAGTTTTGTGTTTTTCTAGTGCAAAACGCGTATTTCGTTCTTTTTCTTTAAAATTTCAAATTTTTTAAATATTTTCTCGTTACTAAATAAAAATTTATTTATTTATTTATTAAACTTATGTAAATGAATTTTTTTAATAATATGTACATAAACATAAAAATTTATTTATGTAAGAAACTAATTATTAGCGTAAAAGTATTTTTTTTTGGAAAGTAAAGTGTTGTAAATATTATTAATATAAACGTGAATATAAATTCGTGAGAAAATTATTATTATTATTATTATTATTATTATTATTGTATTTATTGCTGGAATTGTGATTTACCTGGATAATGAATTAATTTTCGGAATGATTTTTAAAGTTTTTCTTTGTTATTTATTAGATGAAAAATTGCAAAAACGCGTGGGTTAAGATGAAAAAAAAAAGGAAAATTTTTTCCAGGAGTTTATATATTTGGAAATGATGGAGAACCATAAGTGACTCCAGAAGATTAAGTATTAAAAATATCATGGAGAGGAATACCGCGAAATTAATTTACGACGGATTCAAAAAAATATAAAAAAGAAATAAAAACTTTACGGGATCAAGAAAAACACTGGAGGTGTTCTCATCACTGGAAAATGGTGGTAATAACAGGTAAGGATACCTGTATTGTTTTATCATTATTATTATTATTATTTATTAATAATTATTTTTTATTTTCAGGTATTGATTTAATAAAGTAAAAAAAAAAAAAAAAAAAAAAAAAGGAAAAATTAGTTTTGTGCGACGAAAAAACATAAAATTTTGATTGTTTTTTTTTGTGCAAAGGAAATACTATTCGAATGTTTATTTCCGGTTCGAAACCGGAAGTAAAAAAAAAAAAATTTCCGGCATGTTTGTTATGTAACGCGTTAAGATTTAAATTGGTCCTCTTATCAGGTTGTTTGATGTCTTATCAATTACCCACTAAAATGTAGTACCTGTTGTGTAAGGTATTTTTATAAATTTGTAAATTTAAAATATTTTTTTTTGGACAATAAATTAATATTATACACGTTATTTAAAATTCCGAAATTATTCATAATTAATTAATTAAAAAATCCTATCCAATCGTTTAACTTCCGGTTTGCTTGCGTGCGTGTGCGTGTATGTAATGTATTTGTTTTTGTTTTGTTTTTTTTTCTTTTTTTTTCTAGATTGTTTTCAAGATTATCAAGTTAGCGCGACGCAAAGGGGAAGACCAAAATTGGTACACAAAGGTTTCAGTTACACGGCACACATAATATACAAAGATGATCCTTATAAATATTGGCATTGCGATCAAAGGTGGAGAGGTTGTAAGGTTCGAGGAGTATTAACATCGGATGGAATGTTATCGTTAAGAGGAAAACACAATCATTCACCTAAAAATTCATCCGTCGTTATGGTTTTCCACGCGGATTCAACGAACAAAGAAAAACAATCCGAACTTATTTTCGATTATTTCAAAATGGACGACGAATGAATTAATTAAATGGGGGGGAACCTGAAATATTTTTTGTATCTGTCGTCTGTCGTGTCAACACGTCGTGACGTCACAAATTAAAAAATGTTTTTATTATTATTATTATTATTATTAATCGTATACTTAATGATTTTTCACACACAAAAAAATTTTTTAATTATCAACGAACAAAAATTGTTATAATCAGTATTAAAATTGTTGTAATGTTTTTTTTGTTTGTTTTTGTTTTGTTTGTTTTGAGTTAAAAATAAAAAAAAAAAAAATTTTTTTTTTAACTTGAACAAATAAATTTATTTTTTATATATTTAAGAAAAAAAACTGTTTTTTTTTTTAAATAAACAGATGAGTATTATGAAAATATTTAAAATAGTAGTAGTAGTAGTAGTAGTAGTTGTAGTAGGAAAACTATGATTAATTTTTTTTGTTTGTAATTTTTTGATGACGTTTTGTGATATTTTATTTTATTTTATTTTTTTTTTTTACAGGTCCCACAATACCATCGATTATATTTAAAACGGGTAATAATAACAAAACGACAAACAACGTTAAGGGCCCTTATTACGATTTTAAACTTTCCGTTTCGTGTCAGGGTAAACCTAAAATAATATTTGACGGATTTGGATTTAACCAAAGGAAAAGATTAACCGGATATAAATATTGGATTTGCGACCAAAGAAGACAAATAAATTGTTTATGTAGTGCAACATTAGATTTAAATACAAATGCTCTCATGTTAAAAGGAGAACACAATCATAAAAGAAGTTCAAAATATTTCAATTCAACAATGACACTTTATAAATCATAATATTTAAATTTAAAAAAATGTCTTGTTTTTTTATAAATTTTACTATTATTTTTTTATTATTATTTTGTAAAATGTTGTTCGAAAAATAATATTTAAAAGCAAAAAAAAAAAACAAATTTTTTTTCTATTTATTATTGATTAATTTAAATAAATGATAATTATTTTGCTTGTTGATAATATTATGTAAAAATTAATTACGTACCTTTCTATTTATTTATTTATTTATTTTAAATCCTTTTCATTTTGTGTGGTCACAACAACAATAAATCAAATTCACTAACGATTTTTAATAAAACAAATGAAACTCGATAATGGCGGATTTTAATTTATTTAAATTAAACGATAAAAATAACTTTTTCGTTTGTTTTTTTTTTCCACTTTAAAATATACATTTTTACACTTTTTGTGAAATTATTTCACCCGCAAAAAAAAACTATCGCGTTATAATAAAAAATTTACAATGTTTCACCGTGCACTAAAACGACCGCCAACGGGGTTTTTGCCTTCGAGTTTGTTTACTCGTTCGAAAACCGTTAAATTTAAAATTTAGTATGAAAAAAAAACGCCGCAATGCGACAAATCTATCACGCCATTGGTCGAAATTTTTCCGCCATTTCTCTTCTCGGTTTTTCTCGCAGTTTCTCACATTCGCATTCATTTCGTTTCAGTTATATTCAGAAAAATGGTGGTAATGTTTCATTTTTATTATTCATAGTAGTTTTAACGGATTTTAATTTTATTTAGTAGTTTTTTTTGTAGTTATGAGTAAAATTTCTTTGTAAATTTATTTATTTATTTTTATTTGATTGTGATTTATTATTATTTTAATAGTAAAATGTAAAGTAATAGACATTTGAGTAGTTTAATTAGTGTAATGACATTTTATTTGAATAAATTTATTAATTTTTTTTTTGTTTTATTTATTAATTCGTAGTTATTTAAAATAATTTATTTTATTTGAAATTCTTTTTTTTTTTTGAACTGTCCTTAACGAATTAAAATGAATAACGATGAGATTTAGATTTAGAAAAAAAAAAAAAATTTTTTTTTTTTTATTTCATTTCAGGAAGTGTTAATTACACCGTGTCGACAACGGCTCGTGGTAAACCGTGCATACTCATGGACGGATACAAATACCTTTGTCACATATTAAATAAAAAACAACCCAACAAATATTGGCAATGCGATAGATATTTGGGTAAGCAACCTGCTTGCAAGGTTCGTGCCTTATTAAAAGAAGATGGTAGATTTTGTTTAAACGGTCCCCACAATCATCCCCCGAATCCGAGTTTGATTCACACACACGCGGAAATACCATTTTTTATGAATTCAGCATTTTCAACTAAAATTTTTTCATCCTCACTATCGTCCATATGAAAACTATAATAATTTTTTATTATTATTATTATAATAATGATGATGATGATATTAATAATATCGATTATCATATCATCATTCATAAAAAAAAAAATTTAATGTAAATTATTATTATTATTATTATTATCGTAAATTTGCAATATGTATTTAAATTTATATATGTAAAAGAATTTCTCCAGTGCCTAATTATAATAATAATAATAATAATTCGTGTCAGTGTCTTGATATAGTAATATTTTAAAGACTTGTTGATCGACCATGTTTCTTTTTATTATTATTATTATTATTATCATTCCATTTTTCTTTATTAATTTTATTTTATGAAAATATTTATTTATTATTTTTTTTTTTCATTTGATTTATTATTATTATTATTATTTGTATAGTTTATATGGTTTACACAAAGTATAAAATTTTCTTAGGGGGGTTGGTTTTTCTTTGGGAGGGGGGTTCAGGTTTAATTTTCAAATCGTTTTCATCATCGGGGTCTTGTATTTTATAGTACTATATTTTGTTGTTTATCTATAGACTGACTATTTTATAGTCGGAAGGTTTTTTATTTATAGTTTTTATCAAGTTGTTCCTCATTTTTCTTCTTCCATTTTTTTTTTTTTTTTTGTAAAAATTCATCATTCCATTTCATTCTTCTTCATTCCTATTAAAACTTTCATTTTTTTTGGGGGGGGGGTTTTGTGCTGTGGTTTTCTATTTCATTCTTTTATTTCATGCCGTACCTGAACTATCTCATCGTACAATTATTCCCATTTTTTAGTTGTTTTCTCATCGCAGGCACAAAACCTTAAAATTTAACCTTAAATAATGTAACACTTAAGAGTCTGATAATTTTCCAAAGCAAAACAATTATTAAAGTCCAAATAGAAAAAAAAAAAAAAATTTATATATTTATGTATCGTTTTTTATTGATATGTAACCGTTATAATATTTATTATTATGATAACAATAACATATTAAGTACTAGTAATAATAATAATAATGATAATGAAACTATTACTTTAATAATTTCAAATGTATAAGTGGGTAGTTATAAATTAATATTATTATTGTTATTTAAAACGTAATAATAACTAACTACCTTGTTACCTTTTTTTTATTTATGTGTATACATTATATACACTCGTTGTAGAGTTTATATTAATAATAATAATAATAATAATTTTTTGTTTACTCGGTAGTTAAACATAAGTTATCCCGCCAATTTTATGACGTCAGTCGAGCGAAAGACAATAATAAAAATTAATCGTTTGTTGATTAATAAGTTAAACAACCGTTGAGAATAATAATTCGATTGTTATGTAATTATTTATTTATGTATATGTATTTTGAAAAGTTTGTTTATGTGGCAAAAAAAAAAACAAAAAGGTTTCGCGTTTTTATCCCTAAATTTTTTTTTCTGTCGGATTTTTTGTTTTTTGCCCTTCGTTTCAGTGGGAACGACAGGAATTATGTCGATCGAGCCACATATTTAATTTTAGACTTATAAACGTTTAAAAAATGGAGGGAAGGGAGGGGAGTAAAATTATAAAAAAAAAAATTAAATTAATAATAATAATCAACAACAACAACATCATCACTATTTTCTTTACCGTTATTTTTGTCACCCAATTATTATTATTATTATTATTGTTGTTATTGTTACTGTTTTTTTTTTTAAACTTTGCTTTCCGACAGGTACCAAAAAGAAAAATAATAATCGTTAATTATTATTATTATTATTAATATTAAACAATAACAAAAGCTTTATTTATTATTATTATTATTATTTGTTTTTTTTTCTTTTTTTTTTTCGTTATTGTTGTTTTTGTTGTTATTGTTAAAATAATATTTAAACAAAATAATTAAACAAACAATGTACTGATGATAATAATAACATTATCATTATTATTATCATTGTTATTTAAAGTAACCGATACCAAAACATAAGTTCAAAATGTATTTTAATTAGAATGAAAAAAAAAAAAAAAAATTTTATATTAAAGAATAAGTAAAATAAATTTTACAATTCAACCGGAAACAGGTACGCGAATAAGGTAAATTTTTTTTTTTTTTTTTTTTAATAAATTATTATTATTATTATAATTATAATATTTATTAATATTATTATTACTATTACTACTGTCACTACTTTTATTACCAAATTATTTATTTATTAGATTGTATGAAAAAAAAATAATAGTAATAATAATACAAATTGATTACGGGCTGATAATAATAATAATAGTAACTATAAAAATTATTATTATTATTATTATTATTATCGTAATTAACTAGTGCCTGAAATTTATAATAAATTTAATTAAAAAAAAAAAATAATAATAATAATGCTGGGTAAATGAAACCGTTTTTTTTTTTTTTTTTTTATAATTGCCATTATTATTATTATTATTATTATTACCTTTGTAATGAGTACAGGTATTTCCCGCCTTTTATTATTATCATTATTATCAATATTATTGATAATTAATATTTTGTACTGAAAATTTTTATTAACAAAAAAAAAAAGTAAAAAAAAATTATTTATATTCGTTATTCATTTATTGTAATCATTAATTATTATTATTATTATTATTATTATTATTATTATTATTATTATTATTATTATTATTATTATTATTATTATTATTATTATTATTATTATTATTATTATTATTATTTACAAACTATATATGCAATATTATTATTATTATTATTATAAAACGTGTTATTTTATTGGTTATTAAAATATTTATTTAAAAAAAAAATAATAATAATAAATTAATAAATTTTAGTTTATGAACGATTATATATATATATATTTATATTTATGTTATATTATATTATTATCATTATTATTATATAATAGTTGGTAGCTTTTGTCATTCATTATATATTTTTTGTAATTAAAATTATTTGTTAATTATTAATTAATTAATTAATTTTTTTGTATTTCTGGAACTGCGATGGGAAAACGTGAAGAGGAAACGGAAAAAGAAGAGGAGGAAGAAAAAGCAGAAGACTTTTTACGCGAGAGAGAAAATAATTTTATTTATTTATTTTTATTTTTTATTTTTTTTTTTAGAGATTTAAATAAGAGTGAAGAAGGCGATGGTTGCGTTTGAAACATAGCAAATCGATAATCGAATCGTTCGATTATCGTTCGAGCGATCGATTCGAATGAAATTTTTTCTTCGTTTTTCCTAAAAGCGAACGAATTGATTTTGGGGGAAAAATTTTTAAGGTAAAAATTCCCTAATACCTTTTTTGGGAAATTTTTTATTAATTTAAAAAAAAATTACATTAATAATTCATTTTATTTATTTATTTATTTATTTATTTTTACAGTTTTGGAATAAACAAAATAATTAATGGAATCATTAATAACGGCCGAAAAAAATTAAATTTTTACAAAATTTTGTATTTTTTTGTTCATACTCGAGTTTGTTATCGGCAGGAGAAGAGTTTAATGAAACGAAAAAAGTTTTCGGGAAACTCCCAAAAAAAAAAAAAAAAATTCAGGTATGTTCAAATTTATTGTTTTAAAAAATTTCTTTCGTTTTATTTTGTTTTCTTCTTGCCGGTAACGCGCTCGTGAAAAATTTTTTTTTTTTTTTTTTAGTACTTTAAAACTTGGCGTAAAATTAAAAAAAAAATTTCTTTTTTTGGTCTTTGTTAAAATCATAAGAAATATGTGAGCAGAAAGATGGTCTTGAATACTTGAGCAGTGACGTCGTTTTCGTTCTGGGTTCCTCAGGGATTTGGGGAGGAGGTGGCTTGTAGGGCCGAGTACAGCTCGGGTAGAGCCTGAGGTCGATAAATGCTTGATGCAGACATTAAACAACGGCTGCTTCGCGATTTAAGATGACTTTCGGATCATACAGTTCGCGATAAGATGGCGGGTGTCACGTTCAGATTAACCCTAATCATTGCAGAGGGGCGCAAGATCTCCTCTTGCAAATGATGGAGGACGAAGGAGGCTTTGAAATTGCCATGATTTCGAAGTCTTACAGAATTCTCAGGTGAAGGTTTAAGCCCTGACGGACTTAGGTATACGTCCGAGGACGTCTCCAGGTCTAGTCGGATACATTCTCTCTCTTGCGTGTGTTCAAGCGACAAGTGCTCAGTAATTAGTGCTCGTTAGTGCATTAGTAATTGTGCAGGCATTTTCATAACAGCGAATCCCCTCTGGTGCAAGGTAGGAAATATCATTGATTTTATTTGGTGTTTTTCAGTGTTGTGATTATCCCAATTCAAATCCGATTAATACCTAATTAATTACCTCAAAATCTCAATATTTCATTAACTTCCGCAAAATTTCAAGTTCGATTAATCAATTAATTTCCAAATTCAAACCCAATCTTAACTGAAATGCGTTCTCGTCTTCGAGGCGACGGCGGAATGAAGACTAGGGCGAATCTCCCCATCTTTATAATCGTGTGGAACGGTAACGTTCTGGCTTCCCGGAGAGGGGACTGACTGAAATGTAGGTTTTACTCCCACGAACGTCCCCCCCCTCTTCACATAAGCCACGCTATTGCGACATGCTCAGGAGTTTTAGTGGGTATGGTTCCCGGTTAGGCCTTCTTCTTTTGAATCCCATACCGAGCCCCACACTCCCTCTTCGGAGGAGTTGTGCGTAACTTGCATTTCTCCTGAGTTAACAAAAAAAAAAAAAAGGTCTAGTCGGATCCCGAAAACTCGTCGTGTTCTGTCCAAAGGTGAGGGTTTTGTTTTCGTAGGGAACGCGTTGCTAATCTCGGTGTGCGCGACACCCATCCAGCCTGTTGCGAGCCACGTGAAATCGATTTGTTCAGAAAGGAAGATCGATCCGTTCTTATCCGTGGCGATTTCAATGCTAAGCACGCCTCGTTGTCGGGTCGCGTGGCCAACCCACGTGGGCGGTTGCTTCGCGTCTGGGTAAATTTGCATCACATCGCGATTCACAACGAAAGAGGTACTTAAACCTGCCTACGGTTATTTACACGCACTTTAAACTCGTGCCTCTG